TGCTCAGAGAGACATTTTCAATTCATTTTCAAAGACGGATTGCTACGCCACGCTTGCAGTGGGAAATTGGTCTGTCCCGAAAATGGCGGGACACATAATGGTGCAAAGATTGTTGTCAGCAGGACTTGTAAAGTTGCAGACTCGAAATTAGTGCGAACTGTAGGTAAGTCCAAAGAAATGCATATACAGGAATTTCAATTAATTGCATTTTTTTTTTCTGATGGCTAGTTGTTTTGTTTGTTTGTGTACTTGATAGGGCGATCTTTAAAGCACGTCAAATCTGGCAGATGTATTCATACTTCTGGAGCCTGGCCAGGAAACGGAAGACAGATGGTACTGTGGTCTGGATGCAAAGAGCAAAGGCTACAACTGTGGTTCGGGAAACAAGGTACACTTTTTTGCAATATATCACACCTTTTAAGTATAAGATGCAGGAAAAGCGGTGGCCACGTGGTTAACGCGACGGTCTATATAGAAAAGGTCCTCTTTCAAACCCCGGCTGAGCCATCTTTAGCTGTGTGGGAGAGACACTGGCCCCTGCTGGCGCCTTATATCCTATCCATAGCATCCAATTTTTTCAAGAACCTAAATTCGAGTTAAGAAAATTGGTATATACTTTTCTTTCAGCACAGTACATAGTAATAAATCATATACTTATAGATTGTGTGGAGCCACTTGGAATGCAGAACGGTGAAATCAAAGACCGCCAGATTACAGCTTCCTCAGTGAGAGGTCAGGAACTCGCTTATTATGCAAGGCTCAGAGGAAAAAAATACTGGTGTGCCAAAGCCAAAAGCAAAACCGAATATCTACAAGTTGACCTGGGAAAGGTACGTTTTGATAGTAGATAAGAATAGTCAGATAGTTTGAGAACAATGCAAAAACAGAATATAAGGAAAGATATTGAGAAGTTTACTCAGCACAAGCGCCTAAGTAAATTAAATTTTTACCCTTTACAATATCGTAAGGAAACTCGTGATTTAGTTCTTGTGTAAACGTTTTGAGGATATGTATACAATTTAGTTTATTTTGGACTTTGTATCGTTTCGATCTTGCAACAAGCCTTTGAGAAATGTTGATTATCGAACACTTGTTGTCCCTTTAATCGAAAAGAAACTTCTAAAAATGCATTTTTCATTCGAGTTTGTTGCTCAAGGAATGAACTACCTCTTAACATTAACTAGAGAGTCTGACACTGTCAGTTTTTGGCAAGAAGTTGGTTAATTATTTTTACGATAAGTTCAGCGCTAACTTTTTATCGCAATTATCTTTTTTTTGTTATGAGTTTAAAGTTTTTTTTTAAAGTAGTATTTCATTCTAATTTTTTTAACGAGGTAAATAATTAACTATAAGAATCTTTGATATTCTAAGCGGCTTATATTATGGAATCTTGCATTCTGTTTTAAGCTGTCCTCGAATTCATTAGACTGACTTGTGCATTACAATGTAATTTGGAATTTGTACTAAAGATTAAAGAATCCATAGTCTTTTCTATATTGCTTTTTCGTCCTTTTATAATTTTAGGTTAAAACTGTCAGTAAAATCTTGATGCAAGGACGTGGAAACTGGTACGACTGGGTGACCGGCTTCTTCTTACACTACAGTTCTGATGGCCAGCGGTGGAAAACGTACTCTGCGAGTGGTGACGAAAAACAGTCCGATGTAAGCTAAGGATATTGTAAACATTCACAGTCAGTTGTTTACCTACTTCTAAAAACCGTTCTCGTTTTTTTTCCTATCTCAGTCCTTCTGTTATCTTGGAAAGTGCAGCGAAACTCTTGACACTCAGTGTAAGGACTTATGGGGAGCTAGTAAGTAAATGTGCCCATTTTTTTTTTCCTTTTATGTCACCTAACGTTTTGATACAAACACTAATTACCTTTACTTCAATTTATCAAATATTATTTAAGTATTTGTATGTTATCTACAATCTGTATGTCAATTCAATGTTTTTTTTCCTAAACAGAGGTGTCTTTCTTCAAGGTACATTGATTATTTCGAACATGATGTTTTTTAGACGACATTACGAGTACACCCGACAGGAGCTGGACCTAAAACCCTCAAATGAGAAAATTTGTATGGTAAAAGCCTCTCGGCTCAATTATAGTTAATTGACGTCTTTCTGCGCTCCAACGAAGGGCTAACGCTCGAAACGTCAGCTTTTGAAACTCAATACTTGTGGCCAATTTACAGTATCAACTCGGTTGATAAAACAAAATTACCTCGTTTTACCCCTAACGACGGAGCGTCACAGTTTCTTCAAAAACCTCCTTTACTCATTTGACACTAACTCGACCTTTTGCAGCCGCCAAAAACGCTGACCAAGGATGCTATGACAAGCTGAATACTGAGGCTACAGGATATGGTACATGTGATCCAAACGCCAAAAAGAGATGTGCTTCAAGGTACATTATTTTCTTTTTAGTGAGCCGAGTACCATTCGTAAGAAAATTAATCAGCTTATCAACTGTACTTTACAAACTATAAAAAGAGCGCTCGATAAACTGCCTAATGAAGATGAGGAAACTCTTTGTTTTACATGCTAAAGCATCTCAAAGTTTTATTAAAAAAAGCGATTTCGTTTCGTGAGCAGAAAAAAAACACTTGTGGTACATTTAGTGAACAAGTAAAACAATCTAAGTCATAAGAAAATGTCTGATTAAACAAGATTCTTCAAACTCGACCTATGTAAAATTTGATTTAAAGTCCTTTCAACTAGTAAATCGAATTTCTTACGTTCGGTGTAAGGAGGCCTATTACGTTCTAAGCTTGGCAGCAACTAATTGATATATTTTCTCTAAGCGATGTTTTATGCGGCCAGCTGCAATGTGAAGCGGACGAAAGCAGAAAAAAACCTGTTGTTGACTATGGACGAGCTAGAGACAAAAAGATAATTTTGCCTTCCGGGAAAAAATGCAAGTTAGTATTACTT